TGGGCTCTGGTGAATCCTTCCGCCTCAGCCTTTCCAAGTAGCCGGAATTACAGGCATGCGCTACCACGCCCAGCTGATTTTTTTATTTTATTGTAGAGATGAGGTCTCGCTGCCCAGGCAGGTCTCGAACCCACGGGCTCAGGCAATCCACTCACTTCAACCTCCCACAGGCACGGGATTACAGGCTGAGCCATCAAGCCCGGCTATGATTATTCTTTTACATATCTCCTGATGCCCATGTGTAAGAGTTTCTCTAGAGTATATACCTAAGAATAGAATTACTAGGTTATAGGATGAAGCTCACACATAGAATATTGAGTGAAAAATCAAGTCATGGAAAAGTACATATATTATAATTCTTTTTGGAGAAAGTCCCAACCAGTCAAAGTTAACAATATATTGTTTAGAGATGCATCCATATTGGGGTCAAAAAAATAAGGCATAATAATCACACTCCTGAATTCTTTGTTTATCTGGGGTGGAGAACAGGAAGGAAGGGAGATAGAATCAGGACAGGATACAAAGGGGATTTAAAAGGTTTTGATAATGTTTCTCAAGCTGTTCCTTAAGTTGGGTGGTGGAGAACTTGGGTCATTATTCTTCGTCTTTAAACCATTCATTCATGTATATATATAGTATACTCTAGTATGTAACGATGTTTTTTAAAGTCATAGGCTTTGCCTCAGTCAGACCTTAGTCTAGAATTTTGCTTTGCTATTTATTAGCAGTATGACTGTGGTTGAAACATTTTACCTCTCTGATCCCTGACTTCCCATCTATACAACAGGAATAGTAACTGCCTCATTTAACTTTGTGGAAGCAAAGTTAAATCAGGTTGGAACTGATTGGAAGATATCACCTGTATTTGAAAAAGTTTTTAAAATACTTCCTATGTAGCAAATACATAATACAGCTGGGTGCCATGACTCAAGCCTATAATCCCAGCACTTTTGGAGCCCAGACGAGAGGATTGCCTGAGCTTGGGGGTTGGAGAGACCAGCCTGGGCTGCTTGGCAAGACCTCGTCTCTACAATAAATCAAAATAAGCTGAGCGTGGTAGGGTGTGTCTGTAGTTCGAGCTACTTGGAAGGCTGAGGTGGAAGGATTGCTGGAGCCCAGTGGGTCAAGGCTACAGTGGCCATGACTGTGCCACTGCACCCCAGCCTGGGTGACAGACTGAGACTCTTACTCAGAAACAAAACAAAACAAAAACATAAGTGATTTGCACTGAATAAATAAGGGACTAGGTTCCGGCCAGGCGCAGTGGCTCAAGCCTATAATCCCAGCACTTTGGAGGCCAAGGTGAGAGGATTGCCTGAGCCTGCATGTTCGAGACCTGCCTGGGCGACCTGGTGAGACCTCCTCTCTACAACAGATCAAAAAAGCAGCTGGACATGGTAGCGCACGCCTGTAATTCCGGCTACTTGGAAGGCTGAGGTGGAAGGATCATCTGAGCCCAGAAGGTCGAGGCTGCAAAGGCCATGAGTGTGCTACTGGCCTCCAGCCTAGGCAGTAGAATGAGACTCCAACTCAAAAAAAAAAAAAGTTACAAGTGCCAGAGGAAAAGAGAGAGGAGGCCCAGAGGTCATTTCAGACTTTGTGATATGTTCACAGGAGCTCCTGCCCCGGGGCCTGGACATCAAGCAGGAGGAACTGGGGGACCTTGTGGACAAGGAGATGGCTGCCACTTCTGCTGCCATTGAAACCGCCACGGCCAGAATAGAGGTATGGTGGTTTCCGTGGGATCTCCTGAAGTGATGCTTTGCAGCCGCCCTTTGACAACGCTGCGCTTTAGACTTATCTTAGAATGGACCCTTGTGAAAGAAAGCAAAACCCAAACTCACTGGCTTTTCTAAGGAATAGAAAGTGAGAAGAGCCTCGTGGAGAAAGGTGAGCAGTTTCCTTTGGTGTCAGACCGTCCTGGGTTCAAGTTCCCAGTTGACCACTTATTAGTTGTATAACTTCTGAGAAGTTGCATTCACCTTGCTAAGATTCAGATTCCATTTCTATATGATAGCAGTGATAATAATACCTACCTATCCTAGAAGGATGCTGTAAGAGTTAAATGAGAGCCAGGTGCGGTGGCTCATGCCTGTAATCCCAGCACTTTGGGAGGCAGAGGTAAGAGGATTGCATGAGCCCACAAGTTCGAGACCAGCCTGGGCAACTTGGCGAGACCTCATCTCTACAGTAAACAAAAAAATTAGCCAGGCATGGTGGCACACACCTGTGGTCCCAGCTACTTGGAAGGATTGCCTGGCCCACCAGGTCAAGGCTGCGGTGGCTGTGAGCATGTCACTGCTACACTCCAGCCTGGATAACAGAATGAGACTCCTACTCAAAAAAAGAAGTTAAATGAGGTAACATTTAACCATTTAACATAAATGGTTAACATTTAACCATTTATTTCCGTGCCAGGCATTCAATAGGTCAATAGCACCCCAGTCATTAGTAAGAATTCTCAGAAGAAGCTGAGTAAGCATCATAGGGAAGGTCACTTGTTGCTCCTTAGGGGGAAAGCTCAAGCCACCTGCCATGGTGTGAGCACCTACCTTAGGACATAACAGCAGTTGCCCCTTTTGGCATGGTGCTGTGACTTTCAGAGTCTGCACTGGGCACCAGAATATTAAGACACTCATGGATCGTGGAGCTGGCCTGCTGTAGCACCCCACCTGGATAGATTAGAGTCTGGATTCTTTGACTGACTCTCGCAAGGACATGGATGGAGACTTCTAGATTCGGGTTTGTCAGCTACCACAGGATGTTGGACTCAAAGCATAGCAAGTGCTCAGTACTCAGGATATTTACAGACCCTCCTTCTTTTTACCAGGAGATGCTCAGCAAATCCCGAGCAGGAGACACAGGAGTCAAACTGGAGGTGAACGAAAGGTCAGTTGCACTAGGGGAGGAGGATCGGTCTTCCTTGCAGTGCGTTATGCGCTATGCTTTGCATACCCATCAGGGGATGCGAGCAGAACATTAGCAGCCACGAGCAAGGGCTGAGTCTGTGTCATTGTTTAGGACAGTGTGAGTGGTGACAGCAATATTGCTGCTGCATGCTAGGGGAAGAGAAACCCTAAGAATCACAACATAATTTCTTCCTTATGAAGAAGATTAGCATCCGGTTTCTCGGTCATCTGTCACCCCCCGGTGTTCCAGCAATCTCAGCACCTTCCCTGCCTCTCTTTCCCATTCCAGGTTTGCCTCTGATTAGGAATGAGACAAGAACAGTCTTCCTTGTCCTTGGTCTGTTTGTCCCTGACTTTTTTTTTTTTCCCTTTGGCAGGATCCTTGGTTCCTGTACTAGCCTAATGCAAGCTATTCAGGTGCTCATCGTGGCCTCTAAGGACCTCCAGAGAGAGATTGTGGAGAGCGGCAGGGTGAGCGTGGGTGTGGGCCCTGGACAAGGCGGGCAGGGCATTAGCGAGCGACTCCCGTTTCCCTGAATTCTAGGGACGCTGCAGTCTTGTCCCGTGCACCCACCCGAGGGTGCAGCCACCACTCTCGTGGACATCCACAGATGCTGTGGAGAGAAGGTGTGGGGTTCCTGGTCGCTCCCCAGAGGGCGGGCAGCCATAGCTTCACTCAGGCAGGCATCGTTGGAACCTGCTGTGGAAGCCTGGTCCTCTGAGGAGGAAGGGAGGACTGGAGGAAACCAGACAGATCCCAAGAGCAAACTTGATACGGACGTTTCACAGGGGGTTCTGCATGTCTGTGTCCAACAGCAGGGTCAGCTCACCTCTGTTCACAGACAGACCCTGCTCTCAGCCTCTTGTCAAGACATCGCTTTGTATTCTCACGCCTTCTCTGGTGTAATTGGCATTTTGTCTTTCCCTCACGTCCCTGTCTGTGGCTACAGCTTAGAAGGCCTAGGTCCAGGGAGAGGTCATGGGTCTGAAACAGTCCCATAGAGAAAGCAGCCAGATCTGCTCTGGTGGTGCTTTTTATCAGGCTGAGAGCTGATGTTTCCTTTTCCTAAAATAGAAAGACTAAACAAGGAGTATTTGCACATTCTCAGACTACCAGACATTTCCAAATCATAAAAACATCTTTCAAATTCAAGAGTTCTCTCCTGGCAAATCGTGTAGAGCAGCTAGACTCCCCTCAAATCATAACTTACTCATACATTAACTCATTCGCAACTGCTGTCATGAATTCACGTCATTCCAAATTCTGTTCCTGGTTGCCACTGACATGAATTCACGTCTTTGCAAATTCTGTTTCTGAATGCTGCAACATTGTCACATGTATGTGTTATTGTATTTTGCTTGAAAAAGAGTAGTCAGGCAAGGAGAGAGAGAGTTAATTGAGGTAATTACTTGATATCGACTGTGCAATATATTTTTTTTTTTTTTGAGTTGGAGCCTCACTTGGTCACCCAGACTGGAGTGCAGTGGCCGCTCCCGGCCACCGCAGCCTCGACCTGCTGGGCTCCGGCGATCCTTCTGCCTCAGCCTTCCGAGTATCCGGAATTACAGACATGAGCTACCACGCCTGGCTGATTTTTTGATTTATTGTAGAGATGAGGTCTCGCTGCCCAGGTGGGTCTCAAACCCGCGGGCTCAGGCAGTCCACTCACCTCAGCCTCCCAAAGGCGTGGGATTACAGGCTGAGCCACCAAGCCCGGCTTACTGTGCAATGTTATTATTGATTTACACAGTTGCTAAAAATTGCAAGTTGGTCCATTACTTTGTTGTAATTAGTATTGTACACTTGTATTTTGATATCTCAGGGCTTTCATACTTCAATGTTAAAAATAATTTACCGGCCAGGCTTGGTGGCTCAGCCTGTAATCCCAACACTTAGGGAGGCCGAGGCGAGTGGATTGCTTGAGCCCCATGGGTCGGAGACCAGCCCAGGCGACTTGACGAGACCTCATCTCTCTAATAAAAAATCATAAATTAGCCAGGCATGGTAGTGCAACACCTGTAGTAGTTCCAGCTACTTTGAAGGCTGAGGCAGAAGGATCGCCAGAGCCGAGCAGGTCGACAATGGGGGGCCTTGAGTGTGCCACTGTACTCTAGCCTGGGTGACAGAGTGAGACGCCAACTCTCAAAATAATAATAATAATAACAAATTACTATAATTATAGAAAACTAAGAAATATATGCTGATGAGATTTCCGAGGTCAAAGTTGAATCCAGTGAATTTATTAATGATAGTGAGACAGATAGTGATGTAATGGTAAGTGTAAATGAAGAAATACAGCACAGATAATCTATGACAGTGACTCTAATACGGGAAAGAATGAATCAGGCATTGAGTGGGCAAAATACAATCCAAAAAGAAACTTAGAAGTGTTTATTGGTAATCCAGATGTCAAGGTATTTCCAAATGATCCTCAAAGTATAAGTGAAGTTGTCAGACTGTTTATTGATGATGATTTTATAGAGATGATCGCAGCTGAAACTAACAGGTATTATGATCAGATGCACCACAGATATAAATTTCCAAAGAAATGAAAAATGTAGAGCAATACTACAGTGTCCGAGATAAAAAATTTCTAGCATTAACTATTTTGATGGGACAAGTGAAGAAAACCACAATACATGATTACTGGTCGACATATCCGACAATTGTAATGGCTTTCTTTTCAAAATTAATGACATGAAATAGTCCTACAAATTTTGCAGTTTTTGCATTTTTCCAATTGAACCTGTAATAAATTATGTTTTAAATAAGTTCAGCACTATGCACAAACCTGAACAAGAACTTTCCTTGGATTAATCCATGATACTTCATCATGGAAGACTGTCGTTTTGGGTTTATAATCTGAGTAAAGATACAAAGTATGGAATGTTAGAGTGGTGTCTGAGGCAAATACTGAATATGTCTGCAATTTTCAGCTATATTGTGAAAAAGGTGACAATTTAGCTAAGATCATTTCACTTGTGCTTAACAACAGAAGTTTGCAGCAACCAACTTCAGATTTTTTTTTATTTTTGCCAATTCTCGGAATCAGGAAAGTGAAAAATGTGCCAGTCACGACTGTTTTAATATACATATTTTAGCCGGGCTCGGTGGCTCAGCCTGCAATCCCGCGCCTTTGGGAGGCTGAGGTGAGTGGATTGCCTGAGCCCGCGGGTTCGAGACCCACCTGGGCAGCAAGACCTCATCTCTACAATCAAAATCAAAAAATCAGCCGGGCGTGGTAGCGCATACCTGTAATTCCGGCTACTTGGAAGGCTGAGGCGGAAGGATCGCCGGAGCCCAGCAGGTCGAGGCTGTGGTGGCCGGGAGCAGCCACTGCACTCCAGTGTGGGCAACAGAGTGAGACTCCAACTTAAAAAAAAAAAAAAACATATATATATATATATATATATATATATATATATGTGTGTGTGTGTGTTTGTTTGTTTTTTATACAATATATTGTTGTGCTACAATAGAAGCACTACATACAGGCTTTGGAGTCAGAAAAGCCCAGGTTTCTGTTTATTTACTGAATGACTTTGGGAAAAGCATTTTTGTCTCTGTGCATCTTAGTTTTTTTATCTGTAAAATAGGAATAATAATGTTTACCCTTCAGAGATAACTGTAAAGACAATATGGGATTATATATATGTATAATATATATATGATTTTATATATATATATAAAAGCATCTGGTGCATAGTAGCTGCTCAATAAAAGGCAGTTATTTTTTTTGTGCTTCCCTAGGGTACAGCATCCCCTAAAGAGTTCTATGCCAAGAATTCTCGATGGACAGAAGGACTCATCTCAGCTTCCAAAGCCGTGGGCTGGGGAGCCACTGTTATGGTGTAAGTGTCTGTGGGTCCCGAAGCTCCTCCTCCAAACCCCCATTCCTTTGATCCACTCCAAACAATAGGTCAGGGGGAAAAAGTCTGTTCCCTAGAAATGTGCTGTTGATCAGGAAGTCAACCAACGAAAAGTGCAAGGGAGCCTGGGTCTTCCAGGGTGGTACAGGGCAGGGAAGGCGACCTCCCTTCGCTGTCTGGGCAGAGTGGTGGGGGTGGTCTGGAGATGGGATCACGAGGCGTTGCACCTCGTCTGCCTATGACCTCGTCCGTCTTGTCGTCTCCTACAGGGATGCAGCTGATCTGGTGGTCCAAGGCAAGGGGAAGTTTGAGGAGCTGATGGTGTGTTCGCATGAAATTGCTGCTAGCACAGCCCAGCTTGTAGCTGCATCCAAGGTAAGACCTGTCCTGAGCTCCTTAAGACACTGGAAGGCCTGGATAGAGAGTACTTGGCTAGGTTAGCGAGTACTTGGACAGCGGAACTGACCCTGAGAATAGACCATTTATCTGTTAGGCCGGGCGCGGTGACTCACGCTTTTAATCCCAGCACTTTGGGAGGCCAAGGTGGGAGGACTGACTGAGCCCACGGGTTTGAGACCCACCTGGGCAACTTGGCAAGACTTCCTCTCTACGATAAATCAAAAAATTAGCTGGGCATGGTTGCGTGGGGCTGGGTGGCCGGGAGCATGCCACTGCCATCCAGCCTGGCAACAGAGTGAGACTCCAACTCAAAAAAAAAAAAAATTATCCAGGGTCCAAGTAGGCTGGGTCCCAAATTAAAATTCTGCCGCTCCAGGGTCTCATACCACCTTCCTCTACATGCCTTTCATCTGTCAGCAAGGAGTCCCTCTACTCAGCTCACCACACGTGTCCCTCACGGCTCTCCTCACTTCTGTTACAAGTGGTCTGGGAGGGACCCAGCCATGCCAACCTCTGATGAGCAATCCCAGCATTCCTAGAACACTCAAATAAGGAATAGGTGGATACAGTAAACAGGTTACCTGCCTTGGCTCTGACATTCTGTAACCCCTCTTTTGTCTCCAAAATTGAATCAAGGCCCCAGCTGATCTTTATGCAAAGCTTGTAACCAAAATCCTTTCAGGAGTTTGATAGTACTCCAGTGAGTGTTCTTTATTTGTCCTTATTTCCTCTTTGTTTGTTTATTTATTTATTTATTTTTATTTTTTTATTTTTTTTGAGTTGGAGTCTCATTCTGTCGCCCAGACTGGAGTGCAGTGGCCGCTCCCGGCCACCGCAGCCTCAGCCTGCTGGGCTCCGGCGATCCTTCCTCCGCAGCCTTCCGAGTAGCCGGAATTAGAGGCATGCACTACCACACCCGGCTGATTTTTTGACTTATTGTAGAGATGAGGTCTCGCTGTCCAGGCAGGTCTCGAACCCGCGGGCTCAGGCAATCCACTCACCTCAGCCTCCCAGAGGCGCGGGATTCCAGGCTGAGCCACCGAGCCTGGCTTATTTATTTATTTTTCAATATAGAGAGTCAAGGCCTTGCTATGTTGCCCAGGCTGGTCTCAAGCTCCTGGATTCAAGCAGTCCTCCCACCTCAGCCTTCCAAAGACCTTGGATTACAGGTGTGAGCCACTGTGCCCAACCTATTTCTCCTTATTTCTTATTGTCTCAAAATGGTTTCCACAACTGAGCATTCTATCTAAATAAGTGATAAGCTAGAGTTAGGGGCCACCAAGCAAATTCGCCAGGAATAATGTTTTATATTATAGATATACCAGAAGCTGACCCTATAGGGAGCAAGTTTTGAGAAGCTGTTTGACTGGTGACTACCATGGGTCACACGTATTTGCCAGGAACCATCAGACCAACCCTTGGATTCAGTCCTTGCTGCTCTAGGTGTTGTATGAATCTAAATCCTCTTTGTCCTGGCAGGTGAAAGCTGATAAGGACAGCCCCAACCTTGCCCAGCTGCAGCAGGCTTCTCGAGGAGTGAACCAGGCCACTGCCGGGGTCGTGGCCTCAACCATTTCTGGCAAATCACAGATCGAAGAGACAGGTAGCCTTCCAGAAGGGATGCTTTTCTTATCCACTCCCTTTAGTTGTTCTCTGCATGCTTCCCCATGATTCCAATTTCTACAGTTCTCTTTCTAAATTCTTTTGTATCTTTCCTCTTTTTACATTCACACTTAATTTCTCGTAAGCTGGGATACCGCACAGGCATGGTGTTTATATCACTACCATGAAGGCCCTTATGTAGATTTTCTATTTAGCCCTTTCTCTGAATTCAGAAAAAGACTCTGTAGGCCTGGTTGCCCTGGGGAGGTTGGATCCTGGTCACCTCTAACCTCTTCATCCTTCCTTCCTCTTTGTCCCTCAGTTCCTTTCATGCATGTGTTGACCAATGGCAAGCCAGGCATGTCCACGAGTGTTGGCACTGGCCACATTTCAGGTGAGGTCAGCCAGGGTAGTATTTGACAAGACATTATTGCTGTCCTTGCAGACAGTATGGACTTCTCAAGCATGACGCTGACCCAGATCAAACGCCAAGAGATGGATTCCCAGGTAAGAACTCTGTCTCTAAGTCTAGACGGTCTCTATTGCCTGGACATTGACCCCAAATACTACTCCTTTGGGGAGGGGGGCAGCCAGAGAGAGAGAGGACTGAGGGGGGGATGAACATAGATGCACCTACTAGCCCTAGATGAAATGTAAATGATGCTAGAAGAAGCAGTTGGAAATGGAGAGAGGCAGCCCGTAAAGATCAGAATCTTACCTTTTGCCTGCCAGTTATGGACTGATGTTCCTCTGAACATCATCAGGGATCTCTTTGCAGCCTACAAATGCTTCTCTGCTTGTCTTACTATAGACAATTCTTTTTAAAACTTCTGGTATGAATTATTTATGTATGGCCTTTCGTGTTTGGATGTTTCATAGACATTCTAGGCACATGGAAGTAATGAATGATATGAATCTAAAACCACATAGGGAAGAGAATGGTTGTGATGGCGGTATTAGTGCACATTTGTGGAGATGGTCGTCTGCCCCCCCAGGAAAGGGAAAGAAATTGAGAGCCGGGCTCGGTGGCTCAGCTTGTAATCCGCACCTTTGGGAGGCTGAGGTGAGTGGATCGCCTGAGTCCGCGGGTTCGAGACCCGCCTGGGCAGCGAGACCTCATCTCTACAATAAATCAAAAAATCAGCCGGGCGTGGTAGCGCGTGCCTGTAATTCCAGCTACTCGGAAGGCTGAGGCGGAAGGATCGCCGGAGCCCAGCAGGTCGAGGCTGCGGTGGCTGGGAGCGGCCACTGCACTCCAGTCTGGGCGACAGGGTGAGACTCCAACTCAAAAAAAGAAAAAAGAAAAACCAATTCCCTGTGGACTCATCAAAGGCAATGCCATTTCCCTCTATTTTTCAGTAAAGTTATGCCAGGCAAAACAAGTATCAGTGGGATCTTGAAAAGAAGTTGACATCTTTGTTCTAGAATTGGTGGTCATCAATCTTGTGGTATATTCCAGATTGGAATTGTACCAAGTTCCATAGATAGGTCATTTGGCATCTTTAGGAAAAGTTGAGTGTCCAAATTTCTGTCTAGATACTGAAAGAACTCTCTTGCTTATTGGTGTCACCCATTGCCTCTTGACTTGTGCCGACACCAAGTTCTTCCCCCTAGCCTAAATCTTCTCCTTGGGCCCCAATACTACTCCAGCTGCCACTGATACCCCCGCTGGCTGCCCAATAAGTGTCTCGAGATAACATGTCCAAAACTTGCCTCTTGGTGTCCCTCATACCCCACTGTCCCTTCTCTAGTTTCCTTCATCTCCATAAACGGCACCCTCACATCCACTTGGTTGTTGAGCCCCAAGGCCGGTAGTCATCCTTTGTTCCTCTTTTCCTCACCCTCCACATCCAGTTCATCTCCAAGTCCTGCCAACTCTAAGTCTCAAACCAAAGTCCTAATCTTCCTACTTCTTTCCACCTCCACACCCTAAGCTAAACCACCATCGTCTGTCTCCTGAACTACTGCAAAAGCAACTTACCTGTAGTGTATGCGAGGATTTATTACAAAGCGATCCCGTGGCAGGGTCCAGTCATGGAGAGAAGAGCAGAGGATACTGGGGGGACAAGCCTGGCTGTGGGTGGACAGTTGGTGGAGCCAGGCGGAAAGCACAGGGTGGGATCACTGTGCTAGTCTCCCTTGTTCTGTGGATGTTCTACATTTTCCATAATCAAAAGTTTAAAAACTGGCTGTGGGCATTTGGGCCCGTGCCTGTAATCCCAACACACTGGCAGGCCAAGGTGGGAGGATTGCTGGAGCCCAGGAGCAATCTCAAGGACCAGCTGAGGCAACGTAGCCAGACCTCATCCCTACAAAAATTCAAAACACGAGGTATGGTGGTGCCTGTGAGCCCAGCTATTTGGGAGGCTGAGGCGAAAGCATCGCCTGAGCCCCGGAGTTTGAGGCTACAGTGAGCTGTGATCATGCCAGCTTGGGTGACAGCGTGAGACCTTGACTCACAGAGAAAAAAAACGAAAAGGGAAGCACCTTGCTCTGTCTAGTCCCTTCCACTCTTCACCCTCACAGTCAATTCATTCTCCACATGATACTTGAGAGCCGTAAATCCCACGTCACCCCTTGCTTAAATCCTCCCAGCAGCACCTCTCTGCATGCAGAGGAGTCTTGCTTCTCCCCCATCCAAGGGCCCTGGGTGAAATGACCCTTGCCCACTTGCTTCCTCATCGTGCAGCCCTCTCTCTCTCCCAGAGAGCTTCCTTCCTTCTTCTCCCACCCCCTGAAGCTCAGTCCTGCCCTAGAGCCTTTGCTCTGGCTGCTTCCTCTTTCTGGATTATTCTTCCCCAGGTCTCTGAACTGCTGAGCTCTTAAGGCCATTTAGGTTTCGGCTCAAAAGTGACTTCCTGAGAGTAGCCTTTGCCAACCAGCCTTAGTCTTCATCACGTCACCCGGTCATATTCTTTACAGTCTGAATTTTTTTTCTTGTTCATCTTTCTCTTTCCCCCTACAAAGTAAGCAGGGACCTTGTCTGTCTGCTCACCACTATGCCTCCAGCACCTATAACAGAGCCTGGGGTACATGATCAGTCCTCAGCAAATATTTCCTGAATAAATAAACAAATACGCCATTGCTTCGCTAAGCTGTGATCTGGCCATGTGTTCTTTGAGCTGTGGCCAGGCCATGTTTTCTTAAGCTCTGGCCTTCTCCCCTACCTTGGGTAGGTGAATCTCCTCTTTCTTTCTTTCTCTCTCTCTCTCTCTCTCTCTCTCTCTCTCTCTCTCTCTCTCTCTCTCTCCTTCCTAAATAAACTATATTTTTCAATCTAAAATAAAATAGTTTATCAAGAAGTAGAGCTAGCCAAGATCACCCCTTCCTTTAGTAAGATTTTCCTGTAGCAGTAGTAAGTCTAAGTGGCACCAGTGCTTTCGAGATACCAGAACCCTCATATTCGGGCCCCACCTGGACTTGCAGGGATTGAAGTAAGTAAATGGCATCCCGGTGAAAGCCCAAGGTAGGGTTGCTGTGCCAGTATCTGTCCTTCTGTAAATATTTTACATTTTCTACTCTTGACTCTCTACAGTCCATTCATTCTCCACATAATATTTTAGACACGTAAATCACAACCTGTCACCCCCCAATGGCTTCCCTTTGCATGTAGAATATCCAAGCTCCTCACATGGCCATGGGCCTGGGATTGAAGAAAGGTTACAACCAGACTGGAACCCACCATGCAGTCAGGCAAAACAGTGGAGTTATTTTTAGATAGTGATTTTTATCAGAAGAGCAGAAGATAAGCCCACCTCCCTTTTAGGCCTCAGTTTGTAAAGCATAATTTCTTTCCGGTGGAGGGTCACCATGTAAGAGCTACTGGGATGAATGGGATGGGTTCAAATGGACACATGGGCGGGTGGGGGAAATGCGAGCAGAGGGAGAGTTGAAACGGAGGACTGGGTAAGCTGTGGAAACGGAGCGACTATTCCACGTGGAAGGAGAAAGCCGGAATGCAGAGGAAAAGGGCTGAGTCAAAATAAGATAGATCCGGATGACTTGATCAAAAGGGAATTCCACTGGCTTTCCCCTTACAGGTTAGGGTGCTGGAGCTAGAAACTGATTTGCAGAAAGAGCGTCAAAAACTGGGAGAGCTTCGGAAAAAGCACTATGAACTTGCAGGTGTCGCTGAGGGCTGGGAAGAAGGTAAGCCAGCCCTGGGGACTGGCACCAGCCCACAGCAGGGGGAGGGAGCTCTGGGCCAGGGCCTTCCATGCCAGTGGAGCAGAACGAGGAATCCACCGAGGCTGAGAGTTCCTCCTCCTCTCCTCGCAGAGCCTGTTTTCTCTTTAAACCCAAAGCGGGGGTAAAGTGTGGTGAACTGAAAGCGTTGGTGATCGTCTTTCAAGACCTAAATATTGACCCATGGGCTCATCGCTTGTTCACTGCCATCCCTTCCCAGGCCCAGGTAGCCTGCTCGGCTTCCAGGAGTTTCATTTCTGGCCCCATAGAGTCGAATAGTGAGGGAATCGTGGTCAGTGGAGATTTGGCAGACAGGAACAAGTGAATTACAAGCTTCTGCCTGTCTAGAGCCAGTGATGGGCAACAAAGGCCAAAAGACAGAAGGGCTCGGGGGCTGGGAAGTGGAGTGGGTGGAATGATACCTGGCCTGCCAGTCCAGAAACTCACCATCCATCACCCCGAGACTGTATGCTGCTTTTCTGCACATCCGTAGTGGTCAACCGGATCACAGCCAAGTTTGTTGACTCTTATTGGACAGATTCTAGTCATTCCTAGACACTGAGCTTGGGGAAGAAATGATGACACTATGGTTGTGATCACAATGTATTTTAGAGCCCCACATACTGGCAGTTTTTATAGGTTAAATGAATGCGTGCGTGCATGAAGTGCTTTGCAACATAAGTTATCATTGTCTTTTAGGAACAGAAGCATCTCCGCCTATACTGCAAGAAGCGGTAACCGAAAAAGAGTAGCGCCAAACCAACACCCTATACGTCAGCGTGTAAATCCTTGTTACCATCTCTGTGTCTGTTATTTCCCCAGCCACAGGCCACAAAGTCCTTGGCAGCCATGCCGCTCCCACTGCCCAGTGCCGAGGACCTGCATGACCCTTCCAAAGACTCCCTCCACAGTGACACCCTCTCTGTTTGGACCCAGGGTCTCTGTTCTTTCCCCGCCTCTGTGGCATCCCGGCTGGCCAGTGCAGCCCATGAGCAAGCCCAGGTCCAAAGAGGAGGGGGCCAGGGCCACTCAACAGAAAGGACCTCCATCCGGTCCTGCCTACTGTTTCACCCCCACAACTGGTGTCCTTAGTCCTTCCTAGAGGGGCTGCTCGGTATTGTCGAGACTTTGGAGAAGGAAGATCTTATGCATTTTCTTTTCTGTTTTCTTCTCAGTCCTTTCAGTTTCATCATTTGCACAAACTTGTGAGCATCAGAGGGCAGGTGGATTCCAAGCCAGGACACTGCCCTGAATCCACAGTCGGGAGGACAGCAGGAGTGTCCTGGCTGAGAATGCCAAGGCCATCCTCCCCTTCTTCTGGCAGTTCCATGGATTTCCACCGCTACTCGATGGTGGTTGGTTGGGTTTTCTTGTTTTGTTTAGTTTCAAGTCTTACTCACGTATCCACCTCTCCCAGAGGGCACAGCCCTGGCTCTCTGAGCTCCCCAGGGCCCCCACCGCGGCAGGTCCAGCAGTGGTGCTGCTCAGGCTTCACCTTGGTGCTCCACCTCCGCCTCCGCCCTGCGGCCCGGTCCAGGGCCGGGCGGAGCTGCTGAGTGACAGCTTTCCTCAAAGGCCGAAGCAGAGCGAGTGCCTTGTCTTCCTAAAGCTGGACCCCAGCGGAAAGCCTCTGTCCACCTTCCCGAGGGAGAGGGCAGCAGAAAGAAGGAAAGGAGGAGTGTACACAGCTGGGGTCTTCGGGGGACACCCTTCCTAGGAATTCCCATGACCAGGCTCAAAAACCTTATCACATGCTTGAAGGAAGCTGGTGAGAGTCATAACACTATTTCCCCCAGAACGAATGACATGGAACACGTCAAGTGGGCCACCTCCTTTGATTCCCAGGCAGGGGCCTGAGAGAGAGCGTGGGGATTTCCAGCTCCTTTCTCCATATATCTGCCTTGGCTGGCATCATCATGAATCTGAAGATCGTTCTGAGTTCTACCCAGTTGACAGATCCGGAAGATCAGATCACTTGCTCCCATCAGGAAAGAACCCTGTGCTTGGTTCGGAACCCTCAGTATTTATTACTAACCTCCTTTGAGCAGCAACAGCCTACAAAAAGATGGCTTGGAGCAATCAGGACTTGAGGTGTGACTGGCAAGGCTCGTACTGCTGGCCTGCTCCATCGGCCTGTTGGAATCAAGCAAGGCCAACGGGGCCAGCCTGGACTGTTACTGACTTGGATCTCAAAGTAAGCAGGTCCCTCAGAGTTGTGGGGTCAGGGAAAACAGAAAAGGGGAACCACTGGCTCTGACTCCTTCCAGCCACACGTTCCAGGCTCTTGCTGCCCTGCAGACAGGATGAGAACAGAGGGCACACTGAGCAACCTCCTAGACACGGGCATCCTGACAGCACTTTTCCGCTTCCAGATGAACCCCAGCATTTAAGTGACCTTCTGATCTTGGGAAAACAGCGTCTTCCTTCTTTATCTGTAGCAACTCATTGGTAGTAGCCAACAGCACTTCCCAGGACCTGTCCCAACAGAACATTGCCAAGTTTGCCACTTGATGGGTTGTGAGACTTCTGTTTGATCACTGTGAATCAACTCCACTTTCTAACTTGCCCCCCAACTCCAAGTGGGGCACTCAAAAAACTGTCACCCAGGAATGCAGACTACCACACCCAGATACGTGGCCTCCATACTGGGCTAAGGAAGTGTAGCAGGAGAATTGGGTGGTCTCAGTTTAATCCCTGTCTGTGCTGAGCATTGTTCTGTTTCAAGGCCCAGAAGGACTGGTGTGTGGAGTCTCTGTTCCAGTTGTGCCAATGACGCCAGTTGTGTTTTTGGCATGGGTCACCCTTTCCAAAAGCAACTGGTCCTCACTCCTCATTCAAACTCATGTGCTCCAAATTACCACTGGGGAAAAAGCAACTGTATTGGACCAGATTAAGAGTCTCTGAATAACACTCCCTCTAAAAAGAAGCCACGGTAATTTTTAAAACCTTCATGGACTTATTTTAGCCTGAATAATAAAACAGTTAAGAAAGCACTTAAGCCAAAACACAGGCGAATTCAGTGTCACATGAGGAAGAAGCTGTCAGATATAGTGTACTTACTTTTGTAACAACTCAGAAACTATCCAATTCTAGTGGCCAGGCTCGCTGGCTCAGCCTGTAATCCCAGCACTTTGGGAGGCCATGGCGAGAGGATTGCCTGAGCTCGTGGGTTCCAGACCAGCCTGGGCAACTTGGCGAGGTCTCGTGTCTACTGCGATAAATCAAAAATTAGCCAAGCATGATAGTGTGCGCCTGTAGTTCTGGCTACTTGGAAGGCTGAGGCGGAAGGATTGCTGGAGCCCAGCAGGTCAATGCTGGGTGGCTGTGAGCATGCATGCCACTGCACTCCAGCCTGGGCGACAGAGTGAGACTTCAATTCTAAAAAAAAAAAGAAAAAGAAACTACCCAATTCTCTGACCAAAGTCAAATTGTCCTACCATGGCTCTTTTAAAAATGAGTGATGTACCTGGTGTGACATACCTTTGATTAAAACAGGAATTACATCTTAAAGCTGAAAATGAAGTTCACAGCCTTTTAAATGAGTCACTGAGCATTCTTAGTGACTGAAGTCTCAGGTGTGTGTAAATGAGTTACAACAAGACAGGACAGCAACAAAATAATGGCTTAGGATTGACAAGAGGTTGAAATACAGCTGCATCTATTATTTAATTTTTTTAATACAGTGCTCTAATGGGTCTAGAGTAAGGATATTCGTATACTTAAGAAAAAAACAGAAGAGACCTTTGTGGGGTTATTTTATATCTGAGCAGGGAGTTTAAATGAGGCTATAATTTGGATTGTTTGCCGATTCTGCGGCCCACGCAGTATGGCTAGGAGCCCATCTGAGTATGAGTCCCTAGCCCGGTGGCTGGAAGAACCACCATCTAGAGCATTCTTTCCTGGAGTTGTTTGAGCTATCGAGTCAGACACTAAGGTTTATGTCAGGTAACGTGGGGTTCACAAGTGCATGTCGTTGTGTTCAGGTGAGTTTACTTTGGCTTCTCGCCCCTGAGGGGGAGCTGGTTCTCAATGTGCATCTGGGAAATTCTCTCCTGGTCTAGAGGGGTCTATTGGCTCCGCTTTTCCCTGGTCTTTAACAACTGGTCAGTGTCTTGCCAACTTCTTACCACCTTTCTAGATCTCTAGAAATTTTTCCTGCCAGTGAAAGCCTTCAGTCCCAACACTGGCCTTCCAAGCAGGCTGGCTTTGCCCTCTCTCTGCCATCTTTGGTCCTCCAGAGACTGCATTGCCTAGAGTGTGAAAAACCACCACCGCGGGCCTGCCAGCCATCAACACAGCAAACCAGGCCAGCTGTCTGCTGCTCAGCTACTTGTCTCCCAGGTCCAGACCAAATGCCGGATCAGCAACACACAGTGATGGCACCATCTCACTCAGGAGCCAAGCAACGTGGAACAATTGGTTCGATGCTGTTGGGTCCAATTCTGAGAGTAGATTTTTCCAGACATGTCTTTCAGGTGACCCTCAACTACCTCAGGTTTGAAGGCCCTAAATTAAGCTGATTACTACTCAAAGGGGACAAACCGAGGGGGTTCGGTTAAATCCTGGTGATAATGCAATTGTCTCAAACTTATAACTCTTCCACGTTTAGATTTGCAGGGATAGGGTTAGGTTTGTTTTTCTTCTGTTTTTAACTTTTCCCCCAATTTTCCATTAGGATAGTTCTTATAAATAAATTTCATTTTTCACTGAGTGCCTCCCTTCCCAGAGCAGGTGGCCACTGGCTTCTGTTTCCTTCCAACAATACTTTTATTATGGTATTAAGACCTTTCTTTGTATAATACATTGCATCTGTGTTTTCAATTTTTCAAATAAATACTTCAGCCTGGCAATGAAGAGCAGTGGTAATAACTGACCAAGCAATGTGGCTCTGAGGCCTAGCTTCCAAGGAAAAGCCTGCGTTTTCATCCTGACGTTCATGGACTCCACTTAGCTCTGTGCCTCTGGGGATAAATCTTAGAAATACTTGTTTGCACTTCTTAAACATGTTCTGTCTTCGTTGTACACCATCCTGTCTGTGGGGACGATCAAACAAAGTGCTGAAGTGGTCAGTACTCATTTATCTAGAAGGTCATGTCTCTGCATCAAATCCTGGGTGCTTTGGATGTGGCTGGGTGTGGTGTCTCACGCCTATAATCCCAGCACTTTGGGAGGGCGAGGTGAGAGGATTGCCTGAGCCCACAGGTTCGAGACCAGCCTGGGCAACTTGGCGAGACTTCGTCTCTACAATACATCAAAAAATTAGCCAGGTGTGGTGGCACGTGCCTGTGGTTCCAGCTACTTAGAAGGCTGAGGCGGAAGGATCGCCTGAGCCCAGCAGGTGGAGGCTATGGTGGCCACAAATGTGCCACTGCACTCCAGCCTGGGCGACAGTGAGACTCCGACTACAAAAAAAAAGTTGTGACTAACTGCTCAGAGACAGAAGCTGCTAATCGCAGGTAGATTCAGAGCAAGCCAGTCACAGCTACCAGAGGGTTTCCACGGCAGGATTGGCTGCAACCTCATGCTGCCCGTGTGCTAAGCTAGGGGCCCTCTGGGGCTGGGCTGGGTACGCAGAATTGGCCCAAGTGACCGTCAGGTAAGGAGACAAGGAGACAGGTAATCAGAAGCTAAAGTCTAGCTGGGGAGGCTGGCGAGCAGGAGAAGGAAAGTGGCGTTGGAGCTGCAGTGGAAAGATGGTCTGGATACACACAGAAGACAGCTGGGCTTTTCTGCTGCCTGTGGCAGAATGCTAAGGTGAGCCTGCTCCATTTTGAATCACGATTGACAGAAGGGACAGTTCTCGACCACTGCTCTCCCACAGATCATGCCTGGGGCTCAAGTGTGAAACAAGGGCATCTGGAAAGCCAGGCTGCAGAACTGCCTTGAGGGCCCCTTGCATAGAATCGCTTCATCATAATTTTCTAAGTCCCTTCCAGGGCCTGGGTCTGTCTTGGGCTGGCAGTGCCATCCAGGGAGAGCCATTCTCCCCTTCCAGTGCACACTGCCTCAACACTCCCCTCAACCACACGTGGCCTTCCCCGGGCACCCCAAAGGCTCTGGTACTCGGGCCTGAGGGAATTTCCCAGGTTCCTATGGTCAGTCCCCAGTTCTAGGACAACCTGGCTAGCTGGCCACTGGCCATTAGAGTATTCTCAGGAGGAATTGTGAGATCATGCCACCAGAATGATGTTAAAATGCCATTTTTAAAGGAGGGGGTTGGAGTCAATGAATGGGTCCTCTGACATGGCATTCCTAGTTACACACATTTTTTTATTTTTTTGAGTTGGAGTCTCCGTCGCCCAGACTGGAGTGCAGTGGCCGCTCCCGGCCACCGCAGCCTCAACCCACTGGGCTCTGGCGATCCTTCTGCCTCAGCCTTCCAAGTAGCAGGAACTACAGGCACGCACTACCACGCCCAGCTGATTTTTTATTTTTATTGTAGAGATGTCTCACCAAGTTGCCCGGGCGGGTCTCGAACCTGTGGGCTCAGGCAATTCACTCACCTCAGCCTCCCAAGGCGTGGGATTACAGGCTGAGCCACCGACCCCGGCAGTTACACACATTTTACACATCCATTCAGTGTGAAGGCACAGAAAGTGTCAAAGATATGTTCCCTGTGCTCAAAAATAGCATTCGTGTATTGATTATCAACTGTCTACTGTATCAGATGCTGGAGACAAAGCAAGAACAAAGATAGACATGGTTCCACTCTACTAGAGTTCTACTGAGGGAAACAAATAGCATAATTCAGTCATCACAGTAACGAGTATGGGCTGGGCACGATGGCTCACGCCTGTAATCTCAGCACTTTGGAAGGCTGAGGTGGGAGGATCATTTGAGCCCAAAGTTCAAGACCCGCCTAGGCAACATAGGAGGCTTCATCTCTGAAAAAAAGTTTATTAACCAAGCATGTGGCCAGGCTCAGTGATCCCAGCACCTTGGGAGGCCGAGGAAAGTGGATTGCCTGAGCCTACGGATTTGAGACCAGCCTGGGCAACTTGGCGAGACCTCGTGTCTACAATAAATCAAAAATTAGCCAGGCGTGGTAGCACCTGCCTATAGTTCCAGCTACTTGGAAGAGAGGTGGAAGGATCGCCGGAGCCCAGCAGGTCGACGCTGGGGTGGCCGTGAGCGTGCCACTGCACTCCAGTCTGGGTGACAAAGTGAAACCGGACTCAAAAAAAAATGAGCCAAGCATAGTGGCACATGCCTGTAGTCCTAGCTACTTGGGAGGCTGAGGTGGAAGGATCACTTGAACCCAGAAGTTTGAAGCTGTGGTGAGCTACAATCATGCCACTGCACTCCAGTGCAGTGAGAGTGAGACCCTGACTCAATAAAATAGCAAGAGTGCAACTGCAACTGTAGTAAGCAATAAAGCAAAGTGATGGTGTGCTCTCAGTGTGTAATGAGGGGCCATGGC